AATGGGGAAAGCCAGGGGTTTATTTTTTGGTTGGGGGGGGGGGGGGGGGGGTGTACTCATAGTCGTGCATGCCGTAGTCGTTAGACCATTGACCTCGCATCCCTACAAAGCCGGGACGGAGCACGCCGGGTTCTCACCGGACCAGGCTCTCACATCACCAAGCGCGAAGCGCCGTGAGGTATTCGGCGAGTCGCATGAAGGGTGCGCTGCATCCTGCTAAGGGTGTTCGGCATCTTGTGCTTACTTCCTTGCCTACGGATGACAGCTGCGTATGACTTAATTTATTTTCTGGTGCTTTCACTTCCAGAGACAGTTGTAAGCGCTGTGTAACTGCCTCGAGCGTGCTTGCGTGGAGTTGGGTTCTCGACCCCCGCACAACATAATCTACTTCGACCCCCAGGGGGGGGGGGGGGGGGGGTATTTTCGAACGCCAAGCCCACCTTCTCATCGTAGAGGATGTGCTCGGTGTGCACGTTGACCAGGCGGATGTAGTCCGACAGCAGCATCCGCATGACGGCCTTGGTGGGGTGAGTGCAGAACACCCTCCCCTTGAAGCCGGTCTTCTCCGTGAGGTACGGAAGGCTCGCCGCGTGGTCGAGGTGGAAGTGCGTCACCAGCAGGAGGTCGATCTGATTGGTTGTTTGGGCGTACAGCAGTGTATAGGGGGTACGTGAAGGAGGTATGATACAAGGTTGTGTTGCTGCTGGGTTGTTGTTGGGGTTGCTGGGGCGGGAGTTGCAGGAGAAGAACGGCGGTGGTGGTCGGGGTGGTGGTGATGATGGGGGTAATACTAGTGGTGGTTGTCATCATGGGTCTTGTACTGGTGGCGTGGTGGTGGTGATAGTAGTGGTGATAGTGTCACAGCTGGTACAACGCAATTGCTGCTGACGGTGGCGGACTCGCAATCAAAATATACTCACCATGGCCGATCTATCTCCGTGTTTCGGCCGCCGGCCCAACCAGCGAGAGTCGGCTCTCATGGGCTTTTGACACAAACAACTCGTACGTACGTACAAGTAGGAAATAGAGATCCCCACGATACGAAAAAAAAACACCATGTATATGCATCGAGAGCATCCCGTGGAGTTCATGCCGGTCGCGCCGGTGGTCTAGTTGGTATCCGCGAAACCTTCTAGAGGTCAGGTCAGGGGTTCGAATCACGGCGTAAGCGAGCTTTTCTTGCAAAGTGAGTTTTTCTCTCGCTTCCGCTCCTGGTCTAGTGGATAGCGCTAGTTCGTGTGTACACAGAGGGAAGAGAGTGCTGAACTCTTCTCGCATTAAAAATCGAAGGCAAAGTACCGCAGGAGGGGAGGGTAGAGAGGGGCTCTTCTGTGTGACCACGGGTTGGAGTAAACGGCACTAGTGCTGTGAGCGCTGATTTGAAGTGAAGACAAAAAATAAAATAAAATAAAATAAAATAAAATAACCATGTGCTGGCAATACGAGCCGAGCGGGTCCCTAAAGGATGGAGCAAACAAACATTCAGGCCCCCACGTTTTTGCGAAGTACAGCTACGCACAAATGTATGCCATCTATACTATGTACAATAGGATGCTCGAACACCCTTGTGTAGATGCCTACAACACCGCGCACCTCGGAGGGATCGATGGCGTCAAAAAACGGCAACGCCGCGATTCCGTTGTAGCCCTGCCCGAAAACAAATAGCAGCACCCGCACCAGCACCAGCAGCGACGAACGTGTGACACACGCACACGTGGGGAGGGAGAACGCCGGCGGGCGGGTAGGGGGGGGCAAGGCAGGGGCGGAGTGGGATATGTCAGACCGACCAGTTGGGTGCAGATACTGATGGCACTAGACTTTCTACCTGCCCCAGCAACACACACGCATGTCCGCGTCGAAATCTGTGCCGCCTGTTGTCGTTGTCTAAGAAAAAATCTTAAACGCGGTGAAAAACAAGGGAAGTTCATTATGTCGCGACGCTCAACAAGAAAACTCCCATATTTGCAACCGACGAACGTACGTATGTGTGTGTTCGATCAGTCGCTATCGCGAGTTGGCTTGCATGTAGTCGGCTGGTGTCCGCGTCACACCGCAAGCTATGAAACATGGAACCGCAGCAAACCGTGTGGCACCCCGTGGATTTGTTGGACACAATCAGTGTCGATGCCAGACCTCCCCCACCAACTACTCCCGTTGTCCGCGTGCGCTGCACCGGTGTTGAACGTTGCCACGGAAAGATAGTTCTCAGACTGACACACACGACGGACGCTAAATAATGCGAAACGTTACTCCCACAGACTGCTGCTGCTTTCGTACCGGATGGATGCCGCAGTCGAGCATGATGGTCTTGCCCATGTACTTGAGGATCACGCAGCTGCGGCCGACCTCGTTGCCGGCACCGATGGGCATGATGCGCATTGTCTCGTGGTCTTCGTCGGGACCTTTTTCGTCGAAACAGAGAGCCCGGGTTGCGCAAAAAAAGCTATAGTACAAAATTAACCTCCGAGCAGAGCAGACAGGATGACAAAGAAGACCTACGGGGTACATATACCTCCACGTGCCCGTTTGTTGGGCCATCTCCCCAAGAGCCTTGGTATTTTGAGAAGAGAAAAGTACCGTTTTTGAGTTGGCCGCAACTTCCTTCTGTCTCGAAAAAGGCGTTAAACCTCCCGATCTCGACCTCCCCGGCTTGTTTTTAGCCAACCTAGCGTAGATTCCACCCAGCTGCGAAAAAGACACGACGCGCATTTGAACCATCTCTCCTCTGGCTGCTGCGAAGCGAAAGCTCTTGGGCGGAAGAACTGCTTAAGATGGGAGGGGGTGCATCTACATAGGATTCTGGTCCAGAACTTTGTGCGTATGTACAAGGTGTCGGCACTTGCCCACCAAGATCCCGGGGAGGCCTGGAGTACGTGCTTCATGTGCGTGCAGCCCGGGCGTAAAAAAGCCACATGTGGCGCACGGAAAAAACTCCGCAGTTGGGCCGGTTCAACACTCCGCAGATGGACCGGCTCGTGCGAGGTCCTTTTTAAAGAGAAGCAGGTTGGGTGCCAAAGGCGCTACATACAGGGCAGGTCTCAGGACCCGATCAATAATATTTAGTGCTGTAAGCTCGATCATAGCGTTGTATACACCTTTATCTTCCCCTCGCTGCCTCGGCAAGGTTTTGCTTAGGCATGACCCAAAGCGAGGGGGGGGGTCTTTCTAGCGAGCAGGGCTAGACTCACCGATACCTTCTTGCCACGGCGCACCCGCCGCGAGGCGTGCGTAGTGGTGGAGTTGGGTCGGCACTGGTGCGTCAGGTACAAAGGTGGTGCAGATGCGCGGGCCTCGAGGCCGTCGGTGCAGGCAGCAATGCCCATCTCATCTTTGTGCGCGGAGGCAGACGCCATCAGAAAGGTGGACGGGCACTATGTACACGGCCCTATGTTTGCTAGAGGGAGCTGTACTGTCTCAGTAACCTGGTTTTGCCATCAAATGATGAGGGGACAGGTGGTGACGAGCTGACTGGGCTGGTTGACCCTTCGGCGCGAGAATTTTCAGACCAAGAACCCTAAGTGCAACGAGGGAGAAAGCGAGGAACCGACTGGGAAGGACAGCAACGAGAGCGTGTATGAAGCGGAGCGGGTCGAGTTTGGTCGTGCTAGGACTGGCCACAGCGACACCGGAGAAGCGGCACCGGAGCAGCGGCACCGGAGCAGCAGCGGAACCGGAGCATGCGGACGGCATCGAACCGTGTCGCACGGACAAACATCTCTTGTGTTGTCAATTATTTTCCGTTTTTTTCCTGAAAATAGGTGTTAGGTATGTGTGATGACGTCACTGGTTTTGTAGAGAGACGCGGCAGAGATGGCGCGGATAACCCGGGTGCCTTAATTGTGTACCTGCATCGTGGAAGACCCCTTGAATGTGGAACGATTCCTAGTCAGTGTCGATGTTTACACTGCTGTGTCTAACACAGATGTTCTGGATAGATTCGGGCGATTGTCAATTGCAATGATGGCTTTGGTTGGTTGTTCTTCTTCATTGTATGTCCACGGACCCATTCTGACAGCACTTCAGACAGCAGCTGCATGCCCCGAGCTTGTTGTGCACCATACACCATGCATGGTGTTATTTTTGTACAGACAGCACTTCAGACAGCAGTACGCTGTAGTCGACAAACATTCATTTTGGTGAAGTGCGGGACAAGGAAGGGGGGTAATGCCGCCTGCTGTATAGTCGAATTGTAGTGTGTGGGCGTGTAGTTCAGTTGTGAGCACGCAAACGTGCTGCAGGGATTGTAGGTGTACCTCCTCGTGCTCGTGTACCCTTTTCTTGCTAATAGTGTGCGTGTTCTTTAGATCTTCTGATGGCTTTAGCATTTTTGTGACCACGGGCCGAGTCGTTGCTAGATTTTGGGATTAGCAACTGACACGAGTTTAATGTGAAGAAAAACAACAACAAACAACAATAAACCAGCGTGTCCTACGCCTGGTCGGCATTAACTCTCCCACCCCCACCTCGACTCTTTCTCTCTTTCCCTCCCTCTCTATCCGCTGCAGGGATTGTAGGTGTACCTCCTCGTGCTTGTGTACCCTTTTCTTGCTAATAGTGTGCGTGTTCTTTAGATCTTCTGATGGCTTTAGCATTTTTGTGACCACGGGCCGAGTCTTTGCTAGATTTTGGGATTAGCAACTGACACGAGTTTAATGTGAAGAAAAACAACAACAAACAACAATAAACCAGCGTGTCCTACGCCTGGTCGGCATTAACTCTCCCACCCCCACCTCGACTCTTTCTCTCTTTCCCTCCCTCTCTATCCGCTCTGAGATGGGCAGGCGACCAATCGATCACACGCACCAAACCGACGCAATGGCCGAGCGTACAGGATACGATGCGACGCTACAGGTAACATATATGCCCGCCACGGCTCCCTCCCCATCCCCCAAAAAGCCACAGCCGAAACAACAATGTTTACGGGTGCATCTTGCCGTGTTGCCATCGACGTTTTCCCCACCATTCTCCTATTTTAATTGGTGTGTGTTGATATGTGTGCCTTACTCTGCGCTCCTGCGGAGGTGCAGCTCTCTGGCGTGTATGTAGTATTCTGAGCAATTTGAACACTAAAATGTGCGCGCGAAGCATCGTGACGAGGATCAACCCTTCGACACTCAGCCTACATATAAACAATACGCAGGCATGTTTCAATGCATCGTGTGCACAATCAGAAGGAACCAGGTGAAAGTTGTGCACTCCGAGCGAACGCGTCTCATTTCCCTATGTTGAGCTTGCCAGGAGGTAGGGGCGGTCAATTCAGCCACCCTGAGGCGCAGCTGCAGCCGAGTTCTGTTCCCTTGCTGCCCCTACACCCAGGATACGTGCATCTACCCCAGATGATGGCTAAGACCGTGTGTTTTGCAGGTGCATGTCCCATACCTGGAGATGGCGAACGATCCCGCTTACGATTCGCCATTGTGCCACCGCTCTCTGTCTCGCTCTTTCTGTCTCGCCCTCGGGTCCACGCTCTCTTCTCCTCCTCGTGTGGCTTGGTTGCGTGGAATGCAGAGATGCACGCACGGACCGCCTTTCGATTCACGGAGCTTCTTAATCTCGCCGCATTTCATTCACGGAGCCCCCCGGGCCGGCGGCCGATTGACTACCCGGTCTGCAGCACACACGCAGAGAGCCGTGTGAAAGCGCAGTCAGCAAGGGGCTCGCGATGCGACCGGGGGAGGCACGCTTCTTGCGGAAACTGCACTGAGGGCTTTCTCTGGGAGGTGAGAAAAGGGGAACCAAGGTAACTAACGGTTGGGGAAAACTCGGGAAGGTCGCAAGAGGTAGATGCCCGAAAAAAACACGCTGTTACTCTACCGAACGGATGTCGCCAACACAACCTATTTCAGTTCGCTCGTTGTGTCTGTCTCTTCTCCCTGTGACACAGCCGAGTTTTTTTTTTACATTAGAGCCCCTTCCGCACGCGTTTTGGGCACTACCGCACAACAGGGGCGCATCGAGCCGCGGTCGAGGCACATTTCGAGGTGGCAGCCATGCCTGGCATCGTAGGAGGAGGGGACTCTTCGTACTTGTTTCCCGCGGAGGCGGCGGCAGGAGGACACTTGTACTACTACGCCGCTGAGGGCGATGGAGGCACCGGCGGCAGCACCAGCAGCAGCGAGGAGGACGAGGCTGGCGGACACCACATCACGGACTTCGGGATAGGCACATTGGTTCTGGCCATGACCCTGGGAGCGGCCTCGAGGATATATCTCACCAAGGTCACTGGGTAAGAAGGTTTGGCAGGCCAAGCAGCGCAGGGTAGCAGCGGTGGGAGAGACCTGGAGTCCGTTCGTGTGTAATTGTTGTACAAGAGGCGTGAGTTTGTTGCCTGCGACGAAAAGTGACGGGGGTATCGCGGGGTCTACAGCAGTAGAACAGCAGCAGTTGCGACGAGAGGCACTGCGATATATATCGCGGCGTGTGGCAATCGAAGACTCTTCTTCGAGTTTCTTCAGCTATCTGCACGTGCAGCCTTCGTCGGCCGCAGCGGCTGCTGCATGCAGCAGCAGACTCACCGCCTTTTGTTCAGCCCAAACGAATACGGTACACCTATTATAGTTGAAGGTGTGTGTTGGTGGACCGCTCGTGAACGGGCGGTGTTTGCTTGTTAATGTATTCATGTCACGTTTGTGCCACGACCCTGCTCCTCACAAGGAACGTTGGATGTGTGCATTTGCAGTGCCCACGAGCTCAACCCTGGGGGGGGGGGGATGGGGGGGGGGGGATCGTTTGCCCTCTCTCGTATGTATTTGGTGTGGTTGGCATTTTGAGCACACACCGCTTGTGTATAGCAGCAATCAATTCAGCAGCGGCAGCAGTTTTGAGAACGAAGGCGGTGGTGGAGATATGCGGGGGAGGAGGGGAATTGCATCGGTCAGGGGGGAGGGCCGCATACGTACACACATATGTGTGCCACGATGACGACTGAACAGAGCTGGCTCTCTCTCTCTTGGACAGAGAGACATACCTACTCGGCTCGGCCTAAAGCCGGCGTGATCGAGTATATCCTCCCACGCACGTTTGGCCCTCAATCTTTGTGCAAGCACACCGACTTTCAACCACCTTTAGTTGGTCCGCTGCTTGCGCGCTTAAAAAGCAAACGTGCATGGGAGGATGAGAGCAAAGAAGAAAAAAAAAAAAAACTCATAAAGCAATAGCAATTGTTTGGAGGACAAAAACCTTTCTCCACGCGGACGGTGTCGGAAGAAGATACTACCATTATAATAGAGTTTGGTCCCGACGGTGCTTGTGTATTCTTGACCTCTGGTCATCACGGCGGTCACATTGATTGGGGCACATTACGGACAGATGAAGGTGTGCTGGGTATAGAGATCGGAACCGTTTTTAAATGTGAAGACAACAACAACAACCACATCTCGCTTATCGCGCGCGCGTGTTCGGCACCACGAGCGCAACCTGCTGTCGCCGGTGTTGTCGAGAAGCGACGTGTCGGGGCAAATAAGTCGGGCAAGAAGAAGCTCCCACGTGCCCTGTTGGTTCTTTCACTGTGGCAAATTGTTCGTTATTTTTGTTTGGCTCGACGTTTCGGGCTCTTTATCTCTTTTAGCATAGGGCCTTCTAAATGGCTTCAACACGGCGTGTGATCATGTTTGTTTCGCGTGCTGCACAAGCGCACACCTTTAAACTCATGTCACAAAATGCGCGGTTGCCTACGTTTTAAGCACAGACGCCGAACACAGCGTCCAAATGCATGCATACGCCCTCAATTTTTTGGGGCTCTTATGGAGAAGAAAAAAGGTTTGTGTGATAATGCAATACAGCAGTCAACGGCTGATGGTGTGGGTTGGTTGCGACGTAGATTACTTTTATCATATTTGTTACCGCGGCGGTTTTTTTTTTGGAAAAAATAAGTATGGTCCCCGGCACGGCTGAAGCGACCGGCGCACCTGAACCCAGGTTGTCTTCCCCTCCCCCTCCTCAACACACTCACGGAGCTACAACGTTGTTTTTGCGCGTGGCGCAACGGTTTGCCGACTTGTCGGTGGTGGTGTCCCAGTGTGACGTTGAATCTCCGTTTCTTGCTCACCCGCCAAGCATCTCTTCTCACACAACAGTTAACCGTACCGAATCGGATTTTTGCTCTTCCAGCTACCCCGCACAATGATGTACTTCGAAGTATCCAATATGAATGGACACTTGGTGTAAAAACCCAACCTCCCGTGCACGCTCGGCTGTGCAAAAGCAGCTCAGCGGTACATGTAGTACCCGACTGTACAGCCTGTGATGGGTGCAGCCGTATGCAGATGAGGTTCTTGGTTCTTGGTGGGTGTGCACGGATGGAGGCAAGAGGTTTTCGTCTGCTGGCCTTGGTCCTTTGTCTTCTCTCCCTCAGAAATCTGTCGTATTGACCCCACCGACCCATCTCCTCCGCTCCGTCGTCGTCGTCGTCGTCTCTCTCTCTCTCTCTCTCTCTCTCTCTCTCTCTCTCTCTCTCTCTCTCTCTCTCTCTCTCTCTCTCTCTCTCCCCCCGTTTCTCCCGCTCTCTCGTTGTGCCAAACGATCTGCCTCTGTCCGCCTCTGCCCCCTCCCCAAAGGCTGCCTTACACGGTGATCCTGCTGGTGCTGGGCGTCGTCTTCGGCGTTATCCTACACGAAGAGATATTCGGTGACTTGGGCGTCGTCGGCGAGTCCCTCGACAGATGGTGAGACCAGAGCAGACGAAACGAGAGAGAGAGATGAGATCGAAGTCGATGGCAGCGTACCACTACATGTAAACAGTAGCTCTCCATTTTTCGAGACGATACTCTTCGAGTTTGGCGATGCGAATCCGGTCGTTGTCATCCGTCGGCGAGAACGCCCCCAGCAGGCTGCAAGGTGAGAGATGAGGTGAGGTGGTCGGAGAGAAGGTATTGTTCCCTCGAGCAGTGGTGACACAAGATGCCAGACAGACAGGCAGACAGACAGACGTGAATCGAGAGGAGACGATTCAGGCAGCAATAACATCATTGGAGGCCGCGATGGGCCTCTCAAATACTGCCGCGCAGAGACGAGGAATAAGTTGACTACATATATTGGGAGACGACAGATGAATGGAAAAGCAGCATGGGGAGAGGTAGAGAGAGAAGGAGAAGGGAGAAACTTCGTGCCTCAGGCGGACAGAAAGTCAATCCATTTTCTGCATTTCTCGCCCCACCGTTTTGGCGAGTCGGTTGCCCTCTGTCCGACTCGCGTTCGATTATTCTGAGGCACGAGGGGGGGGGGATACGGCACATAAATGGTTTTTTATTTGGTTGTGTCCCACCTTTTTCTCGTCAGGGCCGGTGTTGACTCCCAAATTATCCTCTTCGTCTTCCTGCCGATCCTGATCTTCGAGTCGGCCTTCGAGACGGACGTACACATCTTCCAGCGGGAGTTCTGGCAGGCAAGCAGGAGGCCACTTGTTGCATCTGGTGGCATTGCTTCTCCGTGGTAAAGCTTTTTTTTCGACAACTACTGTACCCGTTCCAAAGAGCCTATGCGCTGAATTATCGTCAGTGATTGTTTTGTTTGATGATGCTTTGCAAGCAGGTGTGTTTGTTCTGATTTCGCTTTTGCTTTCGTCTTTCTTTTTTTTTGGGGGGGAGGGGAGGCGCTCGGTTTGCTCGTGGCCGAATGAGGGAATGCTCATGCTCCTTCCACTATGAAAACCCGGCCACTGCCCCGGTTACATTTACCGTGCCCGTTCTATTTTGTTCCTATTTTTCTCACAAATTTGCTCTTATCTCGTTGTTTCTTTTTGTTGCTTCTGCTTTTTTGTCGCGGCGAAAATCTATGTATGCATACAACGGGGGCAGGTCGTGACCCTTGCTGGCCCGGGAGTGGCGATCGCTACCATCATCACGGCCAGCATCGTCAAATACGTCTTCCCCTACGGGTGGGACTGGAACCTGTCGCTCATGCTCGGGGGGATCCTCAGCGCAACAGACCCCGTCGCGGTGGTCGCCTTGCTCAAGGACCTAGGTCAGGCGGGGTTGGTGTACTACGGATGGGAAGGCGTAGATGGTGTTGGGTTGTTTGGTGGTGCCTGCAACGTGGTTTTTGTTTGTGATTACCCTTTTGTGGTTTTCTGTCGTGGTGGTTGCTCTCTGGTCAAGAGAGATTTCTTTTTACGTCGGAGTTGACTTGTGGATGGCGTTGGAGAAGTGTTTAGGTGTTGGTGCTGACGCGTGGTGGCGATGAGAGTTTGCTGTCGATAGTGCTGCTGCTGCTGCTGCTGCTTCGAGCTACAATGTGCTGGCCTTGCGCCGTCTGCTATATCGGTGCTGGTGCGCCCCCTCGCATGCACCCCCCTCTCTCCAAACCGCCATCCCTGCTCCTTTCCTTTCCTGCCATCGCTGCTGTCTAGAGTCCCTTCGCTTAACATGCGTACTTCTGTGTTTGCAAGTAGTACAGTACCAAGAACAACTAAAGAACAACTAGCTGGTCATGTCTCGATTTTGGAACGACTAAACGGACGAGTCAACCGAACGAACGAACCGGCCAGGTGTTTCCGAGCGGCTGAACGTTCTGATCGAGGGGGAGTCATTGCTGAACGACGCCACGGGCATCGTGGTCTTCATCGTGTTCCGAGACGCTTTCGTGGGCGTCGCCGACAGCAGCCCGGCGCAGGTGCTGGTGACGGCTGTGCGCATGTCCTTCGGCGGTAAGTATTGGCCCTTTTTCTGTGATTTTATTTTTTTTGTCTCGTTTGTTTGTTGTTGCTTCCCTTTTCTCTTGTTCGCGTTCGCAAGAAGGTTGACCGTGTCCATTGGCAGAGGGTTCTAACCACGAGGAGGCAGGTACTTATTTTGCCGTCTGAACCATACTTGTAGCACGCATAATAATCAGTGAGTCCTAAGACTGTGAGCAGATTCCGTAATTTTTGTTTTTAGTTTGTTGAGGTTCGCTGGGCTCTTCTTGGAGTCAAAAACACGTGGGAGCTGTGTGAGCTGTTCGAGCTTGGGAAACGTCCCTGATGGCTGCTGGCAGCCGATTCACACCAACACGTGGTTTACTTTCATCTTGCGTCACGCCTTGGATATCACTACTGTACCTATTATGCTCTGATGAGCCCACTCCGGAGAAGCGGCTTGTGTGTAGCGGTTTTTTGTTTGTTCGGCAGTTTCACCATGAGTCGATTAGCTGATCGAAGTGCGTTAGAAAATCCGCGAGCGACGGCTGTGACTTGAGATGGTGGTCATGATGTGGTTACGACATTGACAAGCTCTATCTCCCTCCCTCTCTCGTGTGTACCTCTCTCTCTCTCTCTCTCTCTCTCTCTCTCTCTCTCTCTCTCTCTCTCTCTCTCTCCCTCCCCCCCCCTTCTCTCTCTCTCTCTCTGTCTCTCTCTCTCTCTCTCTCTCTCTCTCGTGTGTGTCTCTCTCTCTCTCTCTCTCTCTCTCTGATATATCTCTTGTGTGTCTGTCTCTCT